CATATATTATAAACTGCTTGAATATAAGTAATGGAACTTCCTTATAGAAGTAACTTTTTATCTTTTGTAATGAACTCAATATTGGTGCTAACAATATAAGAGATACAAGAGTTACTATTTATCTCTCGAAGATATATAAAGTAGTATATATATACATCGAAAGGAATTATGATAAAATAAAAATAATGGAGAATGGAGGCCGTATTTGTAGATAAATTAGAGCTTGGAAGATGATACAAGGTTGTATAAAAATGTGTGGAGCATAGGGTTGCCTTGATGAGAATCTATCTATATATTTGACTTCAATCATTATGTGTCTCCTACATAAAGTTATGGAAGTGACTGTAAATGGTTGTGCCCAACAATATGATGGAAGTGCCAATAAAAACATATTAATCAAAAATGTTTCTTTATATTTAAATTGTTTAATGAGACAAACATTTATATGTTCTTCCCTAAGTTAATTTCATTTCCTTTTCAAACAAGGAAATCAATTAAAATTCTTAATGCTTATGCCTTATGGTAATAAACCCAAAATAACGCATAGAAATTATCAACTTTAATTGAATTGTTTAGTAAAAGAATTTTTAGAATGGATCCAAGATTATATGTCAAAGTATAACTTTTTCTTCCTTTTAAGCTAATAGTGCAATGTCCTCAACCACTCATGTCTCTCCAAATTTTTATTCCCTTTTGCAATTTTAGTGGTTATTATTAAGTTTAATTAATCACAATGATTGTGAAAGAAGCAATACTTAATTAATACCCAAAACTTATCATATCTTATGAGATCTTAAAAGCCAAAGTGGTAAAGAGAAAAAGCATAACAGTGTTACTTATGTGTAACCGCATTATACATTATTACAATTGATCATAACATATTGAAAAGAAAATAATTAATTAATATTTGGATTTTTTGGAGAATCTAAACTGAGGAGCATATTTACTTAGGCTTACCACATTAATTTTGAGGCAAGATACATGGTCTCCAATGTGGGGGGTTAAATTCAAAGA